TCTCTCTCTCTCTCTCTCTCTCTCTCTCTCTCTCTCTCTCTTCGCCTGTTTGATACATCGCATGATTATTTGCTATGAAAGACTGAATTGTTTCAACCATGGCCAAGTACGGCAGTTTCCGAGAGGTGCACGGATTCATACTCCGTAATCCCCTTACCTTTTGTACGTCTCGTTATGGCCCTGAGCTTCAAACGGAGGGACCCCATACAGAAACTCGTAGCACAATACGCCGAGACTCCAGAGATCGACGCTGGCATCGTGATCAGCCCCCTCAACTGCAGAACACGACAGACGATAAGATCAGGAAAACACGAAATACTTGGCACATAAACACGCCCCTTCACAAGAACTGCACAAGAACTGCACCAGACGATAATGGAGTCCTCAAAAAAAAAGACGAGAAGATTCGACGATGACAACAACCATCCTTACGAGATCAGTAAAAACTGGAACGACACAAGACAACCCGCTACCCTGAGCAAGAGTGGACACAAATCGAGAAATGATAGGGGAAAGAAAATTCGAGGACGACAAACGTACCCCACTTCCCAATTCCTGGTAGCCAACGAGGGCCAGCATGGAGGATACACACAGAGCAAGACGCACGTACATCCACACAGAGCAAGATGCACAGCATCACTCAGAGTAACAGCAGAACCGCCGGATGCGGGATGTCAAATTGAAAGAATGCTCATTCGTCTTAGACTACTAGTACCTTCATTCGAGATACTGCCGTCAGATATGCTGCAAGAGGGCCAGAGAAAGGAGTAGCACGCAAAGAATGGATGAATTGACTTACTCATCTCGGGGGGCAAATAATCCAATGTACCGCATAAGGTGTGCCTGCGGCTGTTCGGGGCATGCACAGACCAGCCGAAATCCGCTATCTTCAGTTCTCCCTGTATCGGGGAGGAGGATCAAAAGGACACACGCAACAGAGCGCTCTCTTAGAAACTGCCGACGAGAAAGAAAAAAAAAAAAAAAAAAAAAAAAAGAAGCTCCGATTTGAAGTGATGTCCTGTTTTCTTTCCCTTTTGTTTTTCTTCCGGAGGGTACTCAGCACGGTGAGCAGCTTTAAAATCAGATCCTGGAAATGCGCCAATACATGCATGCCTGAAGAAACAGTAAGCAGTCCAAAAATATAAAGAAGAAAGAACTACACACGAACCAGCGCGGCATGGCCGTACCCACCTTAACCTCTACAAGACAAAGTTTGTGGTCTTTTCTGAGTTTCAGCATATCTTACCAATCGGCAGACGCGTGACCACCGACCGTATCAACAAGTAAACTGACATCACAACCATTCGCAAGCTTTGTGACAAGGGGATACTATGCGGGAGTCACAAAAAAGAGTTATAATTGCACTATGGGCCAAGATACAGTTTCGAATTGCAGTTCGGGCAATGTATACAACCTGGCTTTTTGGCCAGGTAGGGTGCCCGAAGTGCAATTGAAAACTGTATCTTGCCCCATAGTGCAATTATAACTCGTTCTTGTGACTCTACTGAGGTTACCCCTTGTAGTAATTAACACATCAGCTGGCATACCATACCAACAGACACAAAAGCTTTTCCACAAGACACTTTCCTCAGACTGTGCTAGACTGCCTTCTGTGCACACCTGCAGAAATCTCCTTGCCCAATATAAGTCCCTTACGAAACCCACCACTATAACCTTTTCCATCGCTAAAATATGGGCCTCGCTCCACTACTCTCGAAAAGTGCAAAACGAGAGTGAGTCTTTCGCTAGAACATGGAAAGATACAACGCCATGACTTCTGTCGTTCGTGCATGTCGAGAGTGGTGGAGCAATATGGTCTGTGTCAATCCACAGCCCCCCTCGCCACCCCTATCGGCTACCTTCTTCACTCGAATAGAACGCCCGGTCATTATAGCTGTATTTGGGCCAACTTCCAGTCTAAATAGAGCGATAATGACCGGGCGTTCTATTCGGGTCAAGAGGGTAGTTCACAAAGCTCTGATTCAACCAAGGTGACACTCGACTTCAATTTACACCCCAGCTTGCCAATTTTTTTCAGCATCTACTCTCCGTTCGAGAACCTGCAAACACCCGCAATGAGTAAATGAAAGACTGAGTCCTGCGGTCCTCACCCATGAAGGGCACAGTATCTTTCTGGTCTCTCCGCATTTTGCGGCCCAAAGCCGCTCTCAGACACTCTCCACCAACAGATCATAGTCTCCTACTGAGTGGTTAGGGGAGCATGCTTCTTATCACCTCCCGTAGAAGATATCAGTAGTTAAAAAAAAAAAAAAAAGGCCGCCCTCTCGACGGTACAAAACTTCATGCAAACGCAAGATTTTCGAAATGCCAACTGGACGTGACAGACATAGCACACTGCAAGACAAGACCTCAATGCGCATGCACTCACGGAGAACAAAATCCAGTGTAGAGACTGAACCTCGACGAACTTGGGTCCGTAATCTAATGACCTCTCAGCTCCACGGACAGCATATGCGACATAGAGACGCCGGAATAGGCATGCACTAGACAAGCAAGTTTGCTTACTCAGAGAAGCTTTCGTCTCTGACACGAAAAAAGTACTTACCTTAATTCCAACCAGCAGGTTCTCCGGCTTGATATCTCTGTGAATGACATGCTTCGAATGGCAATAGACCAGAGCGTTGGCTAGCGACATGATGTACTGAAGAACGAAGGAGACACACACAAGAGCCCCACACAAAACGAACGGCATCAGATGGACTATTTCCCTGTAACTTCCACAAAGCACACAGCAGAGCAATAGAGCAATGCGACCTCATGGAACAACGCAAAAGGTTGAAATCACTGTTTACCATCCAACCTCTCCATGGGAGCACCCTTTCACATGTAACACAACATACATGTTAATGCTATACACTTATACAAAACGACTTCATGATCTACAACATAAGAATGAAAGATAGCAAACGGGCAATAAGGACGAAAGATAGCTTACGGGCGTACCGTTGCGGCTCGCATTTCGCTGAAATATTTGTACTTCTGCAATTCCTTATACAGCTCTCCCTTCGCTGCGTACTCGAGAATCAGATAGACGCGAACCTGCAAACAAATTGGGCGAAAATTTCGAATCAGACCCCCGACATCAAGGACCCACGAAACATGACGAAACATGGAAGCTGTCGAAGACTGGAGCTCTTGCGTTCAAGTACAGACAATACATAACGTTGTATTATGGGAACTCGGCGAAGTAATATCATAGCGTTTCAGCGAACGACAATCAATATGTCACCATAGTACTACCTTCTTCCCCCGATATACAACGCACGGTCATTATAGCCGTATTTAGACTGAAACGTATGCCAAATACAGCTATAATGACCGTACGTTGTATTCGGGGGAGGAAGGTGGCCGAAGAGAAATAGGCAAAGAACAGGAGGAAGGTAATAGAAAAAACGATGCACAAAACCGCGCAAGATGAAAAAGTAATCATGAGTTCTCTCGAACGCGACGGACTCGATGACAAATTAAAAAAAAACTTGAAAGCGCCGAGTCCTATAAAAAAACCGCGGCCTGATCCGACCGGTTTCGGCTGGCGCCACCCAGCCTCATCAGGGATCTGTCTGTTGTCGGTGAAAGAGCCCTGTGCTTATCCGACATGCAGGTACGAGGCCTCATTATTTACTATTTCTTCGATATGGTATAGTTCCTACAACGATGGGGAAAAAAAAAACACCAAAAAATGCTCAGCAGAGGAGAAAACAGAGAAGAAAACAGAGAAGAAAACAAAGAAGAAAACAAAGAAGAAAACAAAGAAGAAAACAAAGAAGAAAACAGAATGTACAAAAAAATAGTGTGAGCATACTGACCTCATCGTAAAAGTAACCATACAAGCGCAGTATGTTCGGGTGTCGCAGGTGACTCTGAATTTCGATCTCCCTTCGAAGCTGATGCTCGACGTTGGACTGCTGAAGCTGGCTTTTAAACAACACTTTGAGAGCCACAATGTACTTGCTCTGCACATAGACCGCAGAACACGGGGGACACAACGTTCCACAGGAAATTTTGAGTGACCAAAATTTTGGACAAGCTCTTTTCCAACAGCAAAGGAAGCAAGTGTGCAAGTCATCCGAATCTTCATTGATCAAATTGTCACAAACAGTTTGCGCTACTGTAGAGTCGAATGTCACAAACAGTTTGCGCTCTAGAGTCGAATGTCACAAACAGTTTGCGTTAAAGTCAAATAGCTCGAATGCTGACTTCCTAGAAAAAGTTTCAGGACTGAGAAGCAATACCTTCTTCTCCCGTGCCAGATAGACGTTCCCAAATTTGCCCCTTCCCAAAGGCTTCCCAATGTCGAAATGCGCCAACGACCATCGCTTATCGTCTTTGGAAGAGGTTGTAGACTTGCTCGCCTCGCTGCCAACACTCCCCTCCCTGTCCCTGATCACCTTCTCCTGCAAACAAAAAGGAGTTACCTATGGGTTTAGCCAACTGGTATCAGATGACCTCAGGTATGCACGAGCCGACAGAATGAGATGAGACCCTCAGAAATACCTCGACATAAACGATGACCGAAGAGGAATTGATTAACATGCTACCCGGGTAGGGTCAAGCCGGCAAAAATTCACACCGAAGAATGCTCATGAGAGAGTTGGACATCACACTGAAGCAAGAATGAAAGAGATTCAACGTAGAAAGTACGTTTAGGGCAACCTCTCTCTCTCTCTCTCTGTGTCTCTCTGTCTCTGTCTGTCTGTCTCTCTCTCTCTCTCTCTCTCTCTCTCTCTCTCTCTCTCTCTCTCTCTCTCTCTCTCTCTCTCTC